CTGAGTTCAGGTGACCCGGGACATGAACTGCTCTAATCGACAGAAACCTGGTCTGCGTCCAAAGAAGAACACGTCTCACCAACCTGCACAGGGGACGATGATGCGTAATCCTCTCTGACAATCCACGTATGAGACCACAGCCATGTTGTCAGTCCTTGACCTAATGTGACAACCACTCACTCAATTGGGTAAGAACCGTTGGAGTGCCAGAAATGCTGCTCCAAACAGTTTGATTGTGATTGAGCTAATATCACCTCCAAACTCTGTCTCAAGCGTAAGTCCGTTCCTGAGTTCAGGTGACCTGGGACATGAACTGCTCTGATCGAAGGAACTTGGTCTGCGTCCAAAGAACACGTCTCACCAACCTGCACAGGGGGCGAGAGCGTAATCCTCTCTGACAATCCATGTATGAGACCACAGCCGTGTTGTCAGTCCTTGACCTAATGTGACAACCACTCAATTGGGTAAGAACCGTTTGAGTGCCAGAAACGCTGCTCCAAACAGTTTGTGTGATTGAGCTAATATCAGCCAATCGTCAAGGTAACTCAAAACTCAGACACCCCTTCACAACAGGGCCAAAGACACATCCATTCACCTTGTGTTCGAGGCCAGTTCAATGTAAGAATACAGTATTGCCAAGCTTTATTCCAAAAGCAAACCTGAGGAACTTCCTGTGTCTCTTGACGATCTGGATGCAGACGTACACATCCTTAGATTGATGGTCACAAACCAATCTCCCAGAGTGGTGACTTGGATGTCAACATAGACCCTGCACCAATGGCTTTAGGGCTATCCTCTCGATCTCCAAAGCTAAGGCGCGGAGAACGGTCAGAATCAGTCCGAAACGCAACAAGCATCGGAACAGGTGATAGAGAGGCAAACACACTTGTAGGTTGCCCACATCCATACACAGTTCCAGCTCAATGCAACAGCGGAGCTGAAAAGAACAGAGTAATTAGTTATGCAAACCACTGCTTGGTAGCATGAAGCACCTAACATCTCTAGTGCACAATAATATATGCTGCAGTCACATAATGCAGCCATTCATGTGAAGCGAGTGTTGGTAGCAAAAGTGCCGCATAGATCACATGAAGTAGGCTGACCATGGTGAGCATTAATAGCTTGGCATAAGAGGTACTCTTACACGTGAACTCATTCACACAGTAGCTCCGCTAAGTGCATCTCAGTTGGGATGAGAAGAATAATGATTAGTTATGCAAATAGTGTTGGTAGCCTGAAGTGCCAAAAACCATGTTGCACGACAAATGTGTGTTGCAAAACTCCACAGAGCCAGCTCATAGCACAGAGTCCACTATTTGTTCCAGCTCAAAACAGCAGTGGAGCTGAAAGAATAATATAATTATTAGCCGGGTAGACTAGTGTTTGGTAGCATGAAGCGCCAAAAACCATAGCCCACAGCAAATGTCAGCTGTGGAGTCCGTGCTTAAAAACAGTCACATGAACAAGAGTTGGAAGCGTAAGCGCCAAATCAATGTACGTGCCTTAATTAATGCAGTGCAGGAGTAGAGACAGGAAAAACCCTGCTCACTCTGCAGCCCGAGTCACTATGGCATTAGGTGTAAAGCAGTTCCGTCTGCTCAACTCTACAACCTGAGCCATTATAGCATTAATGTTAAAACAGCTTGCCACTTAAAGGGATAGTTTACCCAAAAATGAAAATTTAATGTGCATGTTTTTTTTTACTCTCATAGATTTTGTTACCATTGCCATGCATTATACGACTGATAGACTGCAACGGCTGGAGTTAAA